TGATTGTTAGCAATGCTCTGTGCAGTTAACACCACACAGAGCTAAAGTTAATGCAACTATTATTAGTTTTGAGGGGTAGCTTTCACTTAGTTTTTAATGCACTTGCAACTTCTGAGTGTGAAAAATGAGGCCAGTTCAGAAATGTCGAGAACTGCAGTTTCTCAAATGGCCACTTGAGGCTAGCTCTCCTTTGAGTAAAGTAAGCCAATCTCCTTAGAGACCTATTATTAACGGCCAAAAAGATTGTGTTTACAGCCTGCTAAATCTTTCTTTTAAACAACTGCACAGGGTTGAATTTTTGTATAACTTTGTATAACATGCAATGACACACAAATCAATTTACAAGTTTTGTGTAATGTGTTCTTTTTCTGGATTTCTGGTTGATATTCTTACCCTCTCCATTAAAATCAAACCATAAAAATGAGATACTGTTTAAGTGATCAAACTTAGAAATTCTGCAGGGGTTCAAATAAGTATGTCTCCAACTATAAACAAAAGGAGCAGATTGAAAAGTTGACTTCTGCCATTCTGCTTTTCCTCTGATGTAATAGTTACATCAGTGAACCAGTAATGATCTAAATAGCCTAATATTATGAACAGTACTTTAGCAAAAGAGTACTTTTGAGTTAAATTTTTAAAAAACAAACCACTCCATAATTACATTATGGGAGATAAGTATCCATTCCTGCCTCAAGGGAGTGAGAATTTAGCCAGAAGGTCTGTCAACAGTAATATCCCACACATGTGTATCTTGTTAACTTGCAACAGTGTGACAGGGAAGTTTAAACAGTTTAGTGGCCCAGAGAAGCCTTAAGCTAATAAAGCTAATTACGCTTCCCAAGTGATTCCCACTGACAGACGGGACATTAAAAAGCTGTTTGACCAGTTCCTACATCTGCAGAGGACTGATAATAAAAGGTTTTTCTGCTTCCTAAGAGAACAGAAGATCTTTCATTAACAGCCTTTTATTGTAAAACTTGTGTAGGTTGCATTAAGTTAACGTGAAACAAAAGGCAGATGTTTTATGGTAGCGTATTCAAACTACTTCCTGAGATAACACAGACGGCCAGTGTTTGTGCGGATAGATAGTTGCATGAGCCGGCTGTGTAAAAGTAAATCTATTTGCCCAAAATTTAAGTTGGGCAAAAATATATATTTTTGGAGGAATATACTGAAATCTTTTAGTGGCCCCAATATTTTCTGCATAAGTTCTGATGTCCTCTTACCTATGGCAATCCACACAGTGAATCGAATCCAGGTTAGAAGGCTGAGCTTCATCATGAGGAATACATTAAACAGGATACTGGCACCTGGAGTCAATGGAACCAGAGGTACCTATATAAAAATAAACACTCTGTCAGTCTCTAAGCAGTGCAGTTTTTCCTTCTTTTTAATATAGACTTGAAAATGTCTGTAAAAGCTCACCTGGAATGTTTTGTTGTTTCTTTGTGGCTCATGGACCCATATAATAGCAAGGCTGAGAATGTAGGCTAAGCTAAAAATCACCAGAAGCATTGTGAAGCTCCACAATGGCAGCTGCAGCTGTTTCCTTCCAAATTCTAGCACAACACAGAGGGACACCGAGCTCACTATCAAAGTGAGCACACAGAAGGCCACCACCTCACCCGGCTCACAGTCCCCCAGCAGCCTGTCCAGGTACGGCTCCCAGCACGCCTTCAGCTGCCCCACGCCACGCCTCTCTTTTTGCTTCTGCCTTTCTACCAACTGGAGTTTGTCTGAGAAGGACTCGTACTGCTTTGGCTCCTCGCTGTCCTCAGATATGGTCTGAGATTCCAAGGGGGCAGGGGAAGGCTCGTTGTTGGGGATGGGAGATGTAGAAGGCGTTCCCTTGGAGCTGGTTTTCTCGGGCTGGAAGCGCAGCACGATAACACTCGCTGCCACGAAGGTGTAAGCCAGGAGAGTTCCGATGGACAAGAACTGAACCAAGGCCTCCAGGTCAAAGATGAGAGCCATGGTGGCCATGAGGATTCCAAACACCAGAATAGCATTAACAGGAACCTTGGTGATGGGATTGACTCGTGCAAAAATGGAGAAGAACAATCCGTCCTCTGCCATGGCATACACAATCCGAGGGAGGGAGAAGAGATTACAGAGCAGCACAGTGTTCATGGCTAGAAAGTAGAACAAAGAGGACACAAGTCAAAATATGGCACTGATAAATCAATACACCTGGTAAACATAATGCACCAACAAGCATTTAAATCAAACTCACCACATATGGAGCCGACTGCCACAACAATTCCAGCCCAACTATAACCACGGCGGAAAAAGGCATCTGCCAGAGCCGAGTTGGGGTCCAGTGTATGCCAGGGTACCATCAGCGTAAGCACTGTGGAGACCAGGATGTAGGCTGTTGCTGCCAATCCAAGGGAGATAGCAGTGGCGATAGGGACAGCCTTCTGTGGATTCTTTGCCTCCTCACTTGAGGAAGCAATTACATCAAAGCCCACAAACGCATAGAAACATGTAGCCGAACCTGCCAGTATTCCCGACATGCCGTAAGGTGCAAAGCCCCCTTGCCCCTGGCTCCAATTGGCTGGCTCAGCGAGCACAAAGCCAAAGACCAGGATGAAAACAATAACCCCCATACTAACGGTGGAGAAGATGTGGTTGAGGTAAGAGGACACTTGGACGCCAAAGGAAATGAAAAATGAGGCAACCACCAGAATTCCTGCCGCGAGCAGGTCAGGGTAATGCGCGAGGAAGGGAACGTTCCATTGCATAATGTGCGTCTCTGTGAAATTCTGGATGGCGTGGTTAAAAATGGAGTCTAGATAGCCGCTCCAGGCACGAGCCACCGCAGCCCCACCGATCATGTTCTCCAGAATCACATTCCAGCCAATGAGAAAGGCCCACACCTCCCCCACAGAGACGTAAGTAAACATGTAGGCGGATCCCGTTTTGGGAATGCGCGCTCCGAACTCAGCGTAGCAAAAGGCAGCCAATAAGGAAGCAATACCTGCGAAGACGAAAGATATGATGACAGCGGGCCCGGCTGTGTCTTTGGCCACCGTTCCTGTCAGAACATACAAGCCGGAGCCCACCATTCCACCGACACCCATCAGCGTCAGGTCCAGGGTGGAGAGGCAGCGTTTGAGGGACGTGGCCATCATGTCATCTTCTAGTGTCTTGAGGCGGTTCAGTTTCTGACAAAGGCGCACCGCTGGCGCACAGCCTCTCTGACAGGTTGCCATAGCTAAAGGGTTTGGAAGGCCAGCTGGGCAGGATAGTGGTGCAGCAGTCACACTGGATCCATTACCTGCTTATGAAGAGGACCTGTAAAAAAGCAATTTGCATTTCGTGACTAATTATGTTTATTTTTCACAAAGCAGCTGATGCATACTATGTGTGCAATGCCACTTTGGACACAAAGTTCTCTTTCAAGCTGTACCTTTAAAGAAATGATGTCCATGTCCTTGAAAAATAATATCTATAGAGATTTTTAAGGTCCTGCATTTACATTTGACAATATCTTCATTCATACAGCTTAAAATCATAACATATCTGAATATAGGTCCTGCTCCCAATCACAGAAGGGTTATAGAGATACTGGACAAAAAAAAGTTACATACATGAAGTCAAACTTCAGTTTCTTACATTTTTATACACAACATTTTGTCACCCTATGCTCTACAATCTACAAAAACAAAAAGCTTTAGATCTCATACCAGCTGATAACCAGGATCATCAGCCAGATGTTTGTATTATCTTTAAATCTTTACCTTTTTATTTGCTTTCATGTTTTTCTCCTTTAAACCAAGAGTCTATAGTGAGTGGCACTACCCTCTTAACACGATAGGCCAGTCCACGTCATCTAAAAGGTATCACTGATGTGTAAAATTACAACATCAAACAGAGTTGGAAAAGAGAGCAAGAAAAAAAATATTACAGATTATTTTTGATATATTTAGTCTTTGTTTCAGTACTTCCAGATATTTCTCCTATCGCTCTGGGCGGTGCAACATCGGACTCCTGGCCTCGATCGGCATATGGCGACAACAGGATGCCTCCATTATAATTACGTAACGCTTTATTCCCCATCTACAAATAAGACCGCTGTCTACTACAGCCGCAGCCGTTTACATTACACGTATAAAAGCGTGCGTATCCACCATCAAATAACAGAAATAAGATCAGGCGGATGATTGAATGTGCGTCCTTTTAAATGCCAAATTAATAATTTAGAACAAAATGGAAACGCAGGCAGAGAGAGGATCGCACCAGTGCATCGCCCTGCCTCTCTCCTGGATGTGGACGAAATGCGGCGCTACATCACACTTTCCACAGATAGGTGTGAGTTTCTGATCCACGCTCCGTTTGTAATGATAAACGACCGCAATGCCATTTAAAAAAGTCAACGATTGCTTTACCGTCGCTGTTCAAGATGCGTCATCGGTGCTGCTGCGGGTCCTGAGCTGTGGCGAGTTACCGGCGTACATCGTCTGGTGATGGAGCAGAAGGTGCACAGACGAATAAAACTAACATGCACTGCCCTGACTGACTGCTTCTTAAAGGCGCAGCTCCAGCTGAAAGGAGTTCCCCGCTGGGCTCCACCCATTTTTTAATCCACAGGGTTCCCGGGGGGTGGGGGTCCCTATGGTTACACGACAGATAAATTTACTATGTGCATGTATGTAGCCAGTAAAACACAACTGAAAAAGCTGAAAATTAAAATAAAACTGTATGATTAAGCGTCTGATCCATGAGAACTGAATGGGGGAACTGGAAATAAAGGAAAAAACTGGGGGTATAGTCCCTATTCTGGTATCTTTTTTTCCTTTTGAGCTCCTCTCAAAATGTGTGTATCATTTTTTGTTTGTGTAGGCATTTTTTGTTGTTGTTGCCTGTATACAGTTTGTCACCATGGTCGCATACTGAGTGTGTAGTTAACATTAAAATGAAACCTTGATACAGCATCATAACACCATGGATATAGTTGATGTTAGACCTTAGGACAAAAAACTTAAGGCAATCATTAATTCTGCTTGGCTGCACTTTTATTTATTCATGGATTAAGTTATTCATGTATTCAGTTATAATAACCATGAATATATTTCTCCAATAATACAAAATGATTGAAACAAACAGAACAGCCACAAAAACAAATGACAGTGTAGGAACTATTACAGTAATGCTCAAATAAAGTTGCTTTAAAAAAACAAAAACAGAACAGTCAAACTGACAACACTTCAAAGAGTGTTTCTATTTATGCATTTTAAATAAGTATCATAAAGAAACATCAAATAACTAATTTTCTTGACAGAAAGCAATACGTTGTTGCTCAGAGTTACTTCTCTGTCCGCATAAATCAGCAAAACTTCTCCTTTGACTTCAAGTGTTGAATTAATGCGTCTCGGGAGGCTCTTGTGTCCCCATGTCAGGGCTGGTAAACCCGTTTAAATGATTAATAACAAAACACCTTCTTAATTTCTTACAGGCTGTGATATTTAAGCTGTGACAGCCTGCTACCGCTTCACTGTGCCTTGCAACGTCTCACTTCAATACTTCAAAAGCAGCTTTTTTCCACATGACACTGATGATAAGAGCACTCGGAGCATGCGCCTGAAATTGCCGCTTCTTAGAAGACAGGAGTGTTGTACGTTCGCCAACCCCAGGGGCAGATCACGGTTACTGGATTGTGACCAATTTTTCTCAGTTTTGTTTGGCACAAATAGGTTGCTCTATCATCCTCCTCATAGAAGTCCAGATTGAGACTCCTTCTGTTGAAGCTTAAGGATCAATTCAAGTAGGTTCATCTGCATTGTCAGCTCCTGAAACACACAGAGTTTGAAGAGCAGCTAGTGTCAGCCTTCTGCTCTGTCACAAAGTACTGCTCCACCTGTATTTGAGGGCTCAGTATACATTTTAGTCATTAGCTAACTAACCTGAGGATTAGTAGTGACATAAAACCCAGGGACTCCTGCTTTCTCGAGCGTGTTTTGCTGGTCTATCACTTTTTGATCCATTTCTGCTACGATCTTCTTATCCATCATTTTTTGTTCCTCTCGCACACGAACGTCTAGAGCCTGATAATACAACATAAAGCTGTAAACTAAAAGCATAGAGCAATACTATTCAGTAAGCAGAGATGTTAGAATTTCAGTGTTTACCTCTAGCTCGGCTTGTTGGTTTGCCTTGAGCAGCACAAGGTTGTGAGACTTACATGACTGCAGGGCATCTTTGTGTTTTCGTGCAAGGTCTTGTTTGAGTGCTGCACACAAAAGAGAACCAGTTAAACAACACATTAAGGTTTCCTTTCCCAAGAAGCAACTGTAATACCTGCCACACCGGTGAATTTCAGGGAAAGTTAGTGATGTTAATCAACAAATACCAGACAACATGAATGGCGGGCGTTCCAGTTTAAATGGTGTTCCTGTGAACAGGTGACAACTCTTTATATATTTCCCTCTCTGTGTTCCTGATGCCGCTGTCTGCAGTTTTGTCATTGTGTAATAGCAGCATAGGTCATAAGATAAGATAAGCTTTATTAATCCCACGCGTGGAAAATTTGTTGGGTTAGGGCTGCTGGTCTTACCCTCCCGACCATACATACATTACAACATCACATGGGGAAGACAGGTCAGAGAGGTATAACAATGGAAAATGTACAACATGAGGAAAGACGTATGAGGCAAAGGTTGACATGAACAGTTCATGCCAAATCCACGTCATTATCTTCAGATGACGACCTGCTGATCGCTTAAAACAGACCTAAAATTGAGCTGCATCACAAGTGCAGTCGACCTCATGGAAATAAATTTTTCCAATTTGTATGAACTAGCCTACATATTTTCACCTGATAGATGCTTTGTGTTTTCATAAGTAACATAAGCCTCGCCTATGGCCATAGTTTGGTGCGTGTCATTCACTCAGTGTTGGACGTATGTAGCAAGAGTTCTTTACAGATTAGGGCTGCCACAAACGATTATTTTGATAGTCGACTAGTCACCGATTATTTTTGCGATTAGTCGACTAATCAGATCATGCATCCATTGGACATAAAACGTACAGCTTATTGCACCAGCATGCATCTGCTCTTATATAACTATCATTATCTTACA